AAAATGAGACTTCTGGAAGTTATAATTTGGCCAAAGTCACAGTTAGTTATGGACAAAGGTAAGATTAAAAACTAGGTCTGCTGAATCAAGTACCATTTTCAAAATGCTAGAAAATTCTAGGTCATTTGAGAAACTTAGTTATGGATTATTACCTCAGGTGCCTCTTTGACCCATGGATTTCAATTTTTTTTTCTTATTACCAAGTTTAAAAGTGTTTAAATGCTATTTCTTATTTATAAGGATCTTTGCTTGTTTCATGGATCCAGAAAATTGGCAATTATTCCTGAAAAAGAAAATAACAACAAGTGAAAAAAGACAGAGATAGCATTGATGGGAATAAGATTAAAAAATAGAGATGGAAAGGGAGTATTAAGTGAGGTCTGAAAGAATGTGTTTCTGGGTGTGGAGTGTTCAGTCTTGGGCCCTGCAGCACAACAAGGGATGGATGGGGGAGACTAGATTTAGCCTCATAGAAGCAAATTGACATGTAAGAAGGACACTCGTGGGCATGCACTGGTTGTATAAAAGGGGAGATGTTATCTTACAGGAAGAGGAGGGGTGTTTATTCTGGAATGCTGTAGGGTACATTGATAGTTTGCTGTGATAGCTTAGAAATTTTTAGAGTAACTTTGAGAAAACATTTTAGTTGGAAGCTGATGGTTTTTTGGGTTTTTTGTTTGTTTGTTTGTTTTTGTTTTTTTTTTTTTTTGGTTCATGGCCTCTGAAAGTTAGATGTATTTAAACACATTCAATAGATCTGTTTCTGGAAAGGGTGTTTGTAAATTACATCAATATTTACATGAATTGTGAAAATAACTTAAAGTGAATCTATGATGAATCCTTTTTTCAAACCAAGAATCGTCCTAATTTACCTTTTTTGTAATTCTAGCAATATTTTAAACTTTGTTTTATTGCTTAATATAATATGTGTGTGTGTCTGTGTGTGTGTGTATGTTTGTAAAGCACAATCCTTAGTTCCATCCTATCTAGTCACATTCTCCCAGGCTTACAGGAAATCAAGTAACTTCTCTTGACTTCTTTGCAGATGTTATCTGAAAATATGCTTGTTTGCCAGGAAACTGTGCATTCACCATTTAAAATAGAACTTTCAGTTGTGTACCTTGCTACATCCTACATAGCATGGTGCCAGATTCTTTCCTTACCTTTGTTCAGCACCTTCTGACTAGTTGGCGCTGCACAGGGGTGGTTAAGGGTTGACCATGGTTCCCTGTCATACAAGGCATCGTGGGAGGAAGGAAATGTGTGTGGTTTAAATGGGAGGTGTTGCAATTTCTTTGCTTTACTACTCACTGGGGGCAGTTTCCAAATCTCATTTTGCCTATAAATTCTCAGTCTTTGAAGCAATAAGTGATAGGGTTTATTTATTTATATATATACACACACATACATATATGTATACATGTATCTGTATGTGTATATACATAACAACAAAATATATGTATTTGTTGTTAAATACTAGACTGTACTAAAATTTTTGGTATAGGACCAGTTTACAAACTGAATTGGAATCTTCTTTAGAAATCATTTAGTTTTGTGTCCCACACAAAGGAAAGATGCCTTTAGAACATCTATGCCATGTGATTCTCTTCCAGTAAAGTCATTCATTCCATTATAAGACTCTCTAGGAAGAAAGCCTTTTAATTTCTGTAGTTATTGTCTCTTGTCTTTTTATATAATTACAGAGAATAAGTGCCATGGTAAATTTGTAAGCAGTATTATGGTACAGAGTTGCTTTGCCTGACACTGTCTTCAGTAAGAAAGGCTTATTGGGTCAAAGATAAGATTACTGTGGAGAATACATTGACAATCACTGGAAAAAGTACAGATTCACATCCTGGTTCTGCCTTTTTTTACAAGGAAAAAAGAGATAATTTGTGTGATCTTCTGTAAATTACTTCTTTTTATTGCAACATAGATATAATTCATATCTACATTTTATAGTTATTTTGGAGGGTAATGATAAAAATGCTGGTGCATATTAAACAGCCAGTAAATTACTGCTACAATAATTTTTATTATTCTGCACATTCACTTAACAACTGCATGTTGAACCCCACTGTACCACTATGTTTGACAGGTGCTGCACTACTCTAGGTGTGGAGTAAACTGGTGATTAAGACAAACATGGTCCTTGCTCTCACAGAGTTTTTATTTTAATAGGTTAGATAGGCAGCAAGAAAGGGTATTTCAGGTAATAGGGAACTTGGGGTGGAAAGGTAGCTAATTTAGAGATGTTTCCCAGAGAAGCTGCTAACATTTTAGTAAGAGAGCTGAATGATTGAGAAAAGCTCATGTGGGGCTTTGTGAACTGTGGTAAGGAGTTGGAATTTTATTCCAAGTATAGTGGAAGGGCACTCGAGGGTTTTAATTACAGGAGTGATTTTGAATTAATTTATGTTTTAGTAGATATTTGGACTGTTGGTTGGAAGTAAGGAAATAAGTGAACAGGCTTATTATCACTCCATAGCTAACAGCAGCTTGGATTAAGATTGAGGCACTTGAGCCAGGTGTGGTGGACACACCTTTAATCCTAGTGGTTTTCGAGGCTGAGGTAGGAGGAGGTACTTTTTTTGCCAGCTTTAGCAACTTATCAAGGTCCTAAGCAACTCAATAAGACCCTGTCTCTAAATAAAATAGAAAAAAGGGCTGGGGATGTGGCTCAGAGGTTAAGAGCCCCTAGGTTCAACCCCTGGTACAAAAAAAAAAAAAAAAAAAAAAAGATTGAGGTACTGAAAGATGGTGAGACATGGAAAAGCTTAATGGACAGGGCTTGCATACAGATTGCAAGTGCAGAATGACGGATGAGGAGGCGGCATTCAAGGATAACTGCTCCAAGTTTTAATCCTGAGTAACTGGTCAGATGATGGTAGGCTGCAACCTTTCCCGTTGGAAACCTGCAGGAACTGGCGGGGCAGTCTGATTGTGTCTGGAGGTACTGAGGCCATCCATATTTAAAGCCAGTTTAATCAAAGCTATATTTTTCAGGTTTATTTTTTTCCTTTTCATCATTGTTGCAACTGTCTCCCCTTCTTATCATACCTAAACCTGGAAAATCAGAATATCTACATTTTAAAGTTGTGCTGTAAGACTTCCCAAGTAGATAATGATAAATGTGGAGTCATTAAAATATAGTTTTGTTGGGGCTGGGAACATGGCTCAAGTGGTAGCGTGCTCGCCGGGCATGCGTGTGGCCCGGGTTCGATCCTCAGCACCACATACAAACAAAGATGTTGTGTCCACCGAAAGCTGAAAAATATATATTAAAAAATAAATAAATAAAACTTTCCCACCAATATGTGTCACAGATTTCAGAAAAATTCTGAACTTCATTCATCCTCAATATAAATGATTAATGAAACTGAAGTCTCTCCCCTGTCAAGAGCTTTAATTTTTTGTTTTTTTGAGAAATTGTACTAATTTGCTAAAGACTGTCTAGGATTTCTCCAGATCATCAATTGTACTAGGTATGCAATAAATATTTACTCAAGTTTTGTTTTTATTTGGTATCTTTCTGGTATGGTTTCACATTTTACTTTTAAGCAGTTTTTTTTATAAAAGCTTAGTACCTCTGATATATTAAGATTGCTATTATTTCTAATCTCTCCTCATTACTTGTAATCTTGTTTTGTTACTTTGGATTAGTGGGTTGTAGAGAAAAAAAAAAAACAGTTTTGAGATCACATTCAGGATAAGTGAGAAAACAAGTAGGATCAGGAAGTTTTAATGATCTTTTCTTCTTCCTGAAAATAAGTTAACCAAGTTTTATGGATTATAATCTTGGCAAATATAAAACTTCCTAACTTTGTAATGTCAGTTATCTATTGCTGCAAATAGATTACCCCAAAGCTTAGGTTTCATATCAGTGCTAAGTCATAATATGATCATTTCATGACATTTTTATGCTATCATCTTACTTAATCTGTTTTGTTCTACTAAATAGAATGCCACAGACTGGGAAATTACTTTCCCCCCTTTTTTTTTAACCCAGGATTGAACCCAGGGATGCTTAATCACTGAGCCACATCCCCAGCATTTTTTATTTTTTATTTTGAGACAAATTCTCACTAAGTTGCTTAGGGCCTTGTTGAGTTGCTGAGACTGACCTCAAACTAGTGATCCAACTACCTCAGCCTCCTGAACACTGGGATTACAGGCATGTGCCACCACACCCAGCCAGACTGGGTAATTTCTAAAGAACAAAATTTACTTTTCCATTTCTAGAGGCTGAAAGTTTAAGATCAAGGTATGGATATGTGATGAGAGCCTTCTTGCTTTAGCTTCACATGACACAAGGTAGAATGGCAAGCATGGCTATTGTGTCTTTACATAGCAGAAAAGCAAGAGAGTAAACTCACTCCTGAGAGCTCTTTTTATAGTGTAGTAATCCATTGGTGAGGATGGAGCCCACATGATCTAAACCCCTCCCACTGGCCCTCCTCCCAACACTGTTGTCTGGAGGACTATTTCCACCACACGAATTTTAGGTGACACATTGACACCCCACAGCAGACATTTAAATTTAATTCTTATTTTACTAATAGTGTACCTAACTCAGTTGAAATCCCAGCCATGTGAGCATTTTGGACCAGGTATTTGCATGAACAGTCCCTGAGAACTACAGTATACTGTTGCCTGGCAAGCGTCTGCTGTGAAGCGCATCCTGATTTCAGAAGTATTAGAATGTAGGGAAAACATGTCTAAGAATTGAAGAAATGTAATTCTCCTCCAGTCATGTGGAAGTAGATTAAATCAATGTCTTTTGCAGGTAAGTTTCTTTCCTCAAGATTCTACAAAGCCTACAGCTCACAACCTCATAAACTAATGTAGAAGCAAGTTACTTTTATTTGAATAAACACATTTATGACAAAGATTAATATACAGGTTATTTTCAAAATATTTCCTTTTTGGGTTTCAGACATATACAAGGAGAACCCATCTTTTGTGACTTTATTTACACAACTTTTTTTTTTTTTCTTAAGGATTAAAGATCACTGTAAACCCAGAATCAAAGGCAGTCTTGGCTGGACAGTTTGTGAAACTGTGTTGCCGGGCAACTGGACATCCTTTTGTACAATACCAATGGTTCAAAATGAATAAAGAGGTAATTTTTTTAAGTGTTTTAATTTCTTCAAGAAGAGAAAAAGATTGAAAATTAATTAATATTTTTGTCCTAACTGCAATTTTAGGAATTTGGCTAAGAGTCTGATAGATATTGTTAATATTATTAATGAAGTATTCAAAAATCTTTATTATGGTAACATAATTCCAAAATTGCCAAAACAATGTAAACAATAATGAAATCAGTTTTCCACTATAAAAATTGTGGGAAATAGGGATTACTCAGGGCAACAGTGTTAGCAAATAGGAACCATCACTGGTACATTTTAACATATCTTCCAATTTCTTTACAACAGATTATATTTCAACCACAATTCTTAGCTAAAAGTCTTTGAAGGCTACATGAAAAGCTAATGCAATGTTATTATTTGAAGAATTCTACAGAACTATGTTATTTTAGAAGATATAGACCTTTTTTTGCTGGGAATTGAACCCAGGTCTTTGCACATGCTGGGCAAGCACTCTGTCACTGAACCATACCCCTGGTCCTATCCATTCTTAAATAAAATTAAGGTTCACAGAGTGGGGCATTTATTCCACTTGTAGAAGGATTAGATGCCTGCACCTCTCAATAAGTAATTTAAAATCACATATTAGAATTATCTTTTCTTGAAAAATTTTGAGCCACCCTGCCATTAGGGATTTCTGTCTAGTTGTCCCATGTATATCCACTTTTGTGGGCTTTTCTGTCTCACTCCCTCTCCTTCACCCACTTTTCTCCAACATTACACCTTGAAACTCCATGCATTTTCTTTTCAACCTGTTCGTCACAGTAAATTCAACATCCTTAAACTTGATGCCAAGGCTCCATTTGCAAATCTGTAACCAAGTAAAAGAGCCATGAGATTATGATCTTTGCTTACATGGAATCACCTTAAATCATAGAAAAAGTTTGTGGTTTTATATCATTTTTTTTTATTTCCATCCCTTCATAGGTAAAGTAGAGCAACTATGGAATGTAGTAAATAGATTACATGTAGGTTTTGGAGCTAGACAGGTCTGTGTTGGAACCCTGACTACTGTTATTCACCACATGAACTCCTACCATCAGGAGTTATAAGAATTAAATATGTGCCTTGGCTGTTGGAACATAGTAGTGAAAGGTATTTTTACCATTTTTTTTTCTATTGCAAACTTGCTTTTATTTGAATAAACACCTTTTGCAAGATAAGTAATAGAAAAACCCTACTGCATTAAACCTACATTTTTTAGGTTTTTCCTGATTGGAGAAAGGTGTAAATGTAGTGGTTGTGGAGTACATCTTAGATATGAAGAGCTAAAGTGGATTTTAGAAAAGACTTTTTTGTGTGTCCTGTTGGGATGAAACCGAGGACCTCATAGGTGCTAAGCAAATGCTCTACCGCTGAGCTACATCCTCAGACCTGTAGTGGATTTGAAAATTCTAACAAGTCAAGTTTTACCAGACCACTCTTATGTTCCTCGGTCTATTTTAGGAGATATCCACTTAAGTATTTGTGGAGCACCTGTTTTGTGCCAGGTCACATTCGAAGGCATGACAATGGAGCAGTAAAATGCAAGGTCCCTGCCCATTTTGGGGGGAGGGGATGGTAAGCAAATGTGATCATTTCTTTGAGTTCAGAGCTAGGAGAAAATAAGCATGTGGTAAGAAAATAAGCATAACGTGAGAAGCCACAAAAGGTTTTAAGCAAGATAAGTAGTATGGGAGGATTTATGTTTTTAACACAAAAACATTTGAAGGAAACAGAGAACATCAAGAAGACCAGGTATCTACTGACTGTGCTGGAAAAGAAGTAATCCTAGTATGGAGTTAGGTAAAGCAGTAGAGATGGATCCCAGGGTATTTCAGCTTGTATTTTGGATAGAGTTGGTCAGCTGATAGCTAGGATGTGGAACATGAGGAAGAAGGAAGAAAGGTAGAGGATGGTGACTAGGTTTTTCCACTTGAGCATCTGGGACATATTTATGCTGAGGTGTTGAGAAGACTGCAATGGATTTAGGGAGAAACATCAAGGATTTGACTTTAGACATGTTAAATTTGAAATGTCTATTATACATCCAAGTGAATCAGCTAGGCAGTTTGGATATCTGGTGAGATAGATAACATTGAGAGTTCAGTATTAAAGGATGAACCAGTAAAGAAACCAGGAAAAATAAAAAATAAAGTATTTCAAGAAGAAAGGGTGGTCAGCTTCTTCAGTACTTCCTGGAGGAGGCATGTGGAGTCAAGGCAGGTTTGTTTTTTGACTTAAGGTAGAAGGTACTAGAGTGTGTTTGGGAGAGTGATAGAGTAAGTGGGAGAAATAGATGCATTGCAGGAGCAAAATCAGAGGGGATGGGATTTTTGGAAAAGAAAAGTGTTTGCTCTGCCTCCAGTGATGGGAACCTGCAAATAGCAAGAGAAGGAGGTTATTCATATATATGCAGGAATCTACAAAGAAGTGACTTGCTAACTGGTTTACCTAAGTTGCATAGAAACTTCTGTGGAAAATAACAAAGAATTTCTAGAAGAATAAGGGGAGTAGGAAAGTTTGTGATAATCTTTGAGTGGTGCTGAGTCTTTTCCTGTTCTTCATAGCCGTAAAACTGGAGAGGGGATTTATAGTAAGTTTACTCTGGTCACCTTCCAAGGAGCAGAAGTTACCCTAGGAGGGAATTTATAGCAGCCTCATTTCCCAGAATTTTCTTCTTTTGGTCAGAAAAGGGACATATGAGAAGACTTTTTTCTGCTTCTGTTTAATCCCAGATGTCTTTCATTTAATACAATCTTCACACCAACTCTTGAGGTGCCAAGTGGGTCTTCACAGGTCTTTAGCCCAAGCAGTCTTTGTTAGAAAGATGCATCTTCCATCTGAACAGGAAGGAAGAGGGGAGTTATAAATAGGCATGGGCATCGATAGGTGGGTTTGTGATTCAGTGGCAGCAAGAGGAAAGAATTTCTCTCTGTATTCAATGCCTGAGAGAAGTAGGATTGCAAGAGATTTGAAAGTTTACTGAATCATCTAATGGGAAAGCAGGCTTAGCAGGGTAACACAAAAGGATTGTCAGGCCATGCTAAGTACAGCCTCTCATCCCAGTAGTTCCATTTTCAGTGAAATGCTCTTGCTCTTGTACCGAGAGTTGAGTTGGTTGGAGTATGGAAAGGAAGAGTTGCAGTCTCCTTGAAATAACCTTGCAAGGGGCTGCTGTAACATAATGAGGCAGCACTTGAGGAAGCCCCTTGGCAGTGTGCCCAAGTTGGGTGGAGTTGATGAATTGCTGGGAGCAGCAAAGGTGAAAGAAACCTTAATACACTGACAGAGCCCAGGCAGAAGAACTCAGGAGACCCTGGATGGCCATCCCTCCCATCACTTACATGCTTTCCATAACCCTTTTCTGCCCAGCTGGATATGGTTTGTTAAAGAAGATTATCCTCTTACAGAATTTTGTAGATGAGGTGAAATAATGTGTCCATGTATTCACAGCTCATTTGGTCTGAACTGAAAGTTATAGCCAGGTCTAATTGTGTTTTCTCCACACCACAGTGATGTTTATCATGTTATGTGCTACTTAACTTACAAAGGGTGCATTTGCAAATCCTTTCAGTACTGAACATTTGAACTGTTTTTATAGCAGAGCAGCTTTTATATTAGTTTCAAGAAGATATTGGAGGACATCTCACTCCTTTTAATGACTTTTTTAAAAAGGCTCTTGATTTCTATTAACTCAAGTCCTAAATAACTCCAAATGCTATTATTTGTTTTTTTTTAATATTTCAGAACTTGGAGGGGGAAAATTACCAAATTTATATCATGAATTATGTCATATATTTTAAGATGCCTTTTTGATGAATATACACTTATATTCCCATTCCTTCACAGATTCCATATGGAAATGCATCAGAACTTACTTTTAACACTGTGCATGTAAAAGATGCAGGCTTTTATGTCTGTCGTGTTAATAATAATCTTACCTTTGAATTCAGCCAGTGGTCACAGCTGGATGTTTGTGATGTGACAGAAGTAACAGAAAGCTTCCGGAGTAAGTGACAAAAGAAGTTTAATATTGATTGATGAATTGCCTTAACTCTTTTTACTTTAAAAGAACTTCAAAGTGTCAAAATAGTAACAAAAGCTCACATACATACTTTGTCTAATACATTGTCACTAGTCACTAAGATTTGACCCCATGTGGTTTAATCATCTTTCGCGCACGTGTGTGTGTGTGTGTGTTCGTGCATATGCACACTTGCATGCTCACGCCATCTTCTAAGATAACACAGAATCTTCTTAGTCTGGTCCCTGTTGCTGAGCTCCTCTACTCTGCAGTTTCCATTACCTATTACTCTGCCTTCATGCACAGCATCTCCATCTCAAGCTTATTTTCTCCCCATTACCTGCCTGTTAACTTTGCTTAATTCAGAATTTTCTAAACTTACTTGTCATAGCACTTGCTTATCCTCAGAACAGCTCTTAATGTTTCTGGTAATACTACAGTTTTGAGAAACTTAATTTGGCAAATGTTTTTAAAGATTGTAAAAACTGAATAGTGAGCTTGGACTTTTTAATTATAGGAAAAATGTGTTTTTTATTTTTAACCTAGAGATTTTTTTCTTTTAATTTAAGGAAGTCCGGATAGCTTGTCTGAATCCAGGTTGCAAATTTGTGTTGAACCAAAGTCCCAAAAGCTAATGCTAGGCAGCACATTGGTTTTACAGTGTGTTGCTATTGGAAGCCCTATTCCTCACTACCAGTGGTTCAAAAATGAATCACCATTACCACATGAGACAAAAAAGCTATACATGGTAGGTAGTTGATTTGGGGGGGTTGGGGAAATAAATGGTAGAATTAAAATGAAAAGTGAACACTAAAACTCATATTCTTCAAGGTGCTTGAATGTTTTCAATATTTTTATTTCAAGTCCCTTTTGATTTAAAATTAATTGGTTCTGCTGACTTTATTTCATTTCATAATGAGGGCTGTATCTATGTTAACCAAAAATTATATAATCATTGCCAACAATGTTTATAATGATCAAATACAACATCTTGGTTTTGACCTTATTTCAACATATTCTAAGGAGACTTGATAAAGTAAGTATATTTTAGAACTGAGTAAGAAAGTAAATTGTGGTTGACAGTTTTGCAACATAAAAATTCATATTTTATAAGGCTATTTTGAAATCATTTTAAGAGGTACATTTTTATAAATGTACAAATTTATATAATTTACTCTTTACTATTATATTTTAGAACTGGAAGAGATCTTAGGGGTAACATATTATTTCATTACCCTTATTTTATAGATAAATAAAAGGATATCATGAAAGTTAAGTTTAATTAATTGATAAAAGTTACATAAATAATTATAACCCACTGTACTATATAACCCAGGGCAAGATTCTCCCTGTAATAGGAAATAGAAGCTATTACCAAAAATGTATGTAGAATAAATTAAAAAAAGGGATGATAAGAATAAATTTTCCTTACCAAATATTAAAACTTTACATACAGTACTAAAATGTATTTAACTTAAATAAGATAACTTTCTCAAATAAAGCTTTATTTTGCTAATGAATAATTTTTTAGCTAATTGATATCATAAGCCAAATTAAGACTTACATAGGACATTTATGTATATAATAATATTGCAGTTACAAAACTATGTAAAATTATGTACCTTGGTTATTATGACATATAATGACTTGAGGTTCAGTTTTACTCTAATGAACTTTTAATACTTGCACATTCTAACATTACATTGTAAAATCAAGGATTTCCTCCTAATGTTAGTATAAGAAGGTAAAATATAAAGTGTTGACAAATGTGGTTATAAATTTAGTATCTGATATTTAATCCTGCACTTGGGGAAAACCAATATGTAAGTAAATTATTATTTTAATAATTATTCCTAAATTGCTAACCTCTGAGAGGTAAATAACTACATGTAAATAGAAAGAATAGCCAATTAAAAATGGTATCGGTGTAAGTTCCATAAATATATTCTAATGGAAATGAATGTAACAGTACATTAAAATATTTATTTTCTGTTTTGAAAAAATAAAAAAATAAAAATAAATTAAAAATTAATTGGTTCTTAAATTAGAATTTAATCCTGGCATCTGTATAAAATTCCAAATAGTATTATGCCAAACTCACCATATTGAAATCATATTATTTCCTTGCTACTATTTAGCCTAGTAAATGGAAATAATCTAAGAACGTTTAAAGCCTTCTGAAATGTTTTAGAAATTTTTTTTAGTACAAGATGACTTTTCTCCAAGCCAATTTAAACTAAAACTTTAAGGTGAAATGTGTATGTGTTCTAATATTGATACAGGTGCCCTATGTGGATTTAGAACATCAAGGAACCTACTGGTGTCATGTTTATAATGATCGAGACAGTCAGGATAGTAAGAAGGTAGATGTCATCATAGGTAAGCTGTATTACTCATATAATATAAGCTATATAAACTGAAACATTTATGCAAAAGAAATTCTACATTTTAACCCCATACTATTTAACAGTGTGTTTGATGTCAGGAGTTATATTGTTTATATAGAATTTGAGAGAATGCACACTAAATTCATATCTAGAGTCACATACAAAAAGCAAAGTGAATCCAAACAAAAGCCATTTAGGTAATTTTAATTTTCTTGAAATGTTTTAGTTTATTTTAAACATTCATGGCAAAAAAACATATTCTTTAAAGCTTTACCTACAAAAAAAACTTGATTTGATAGAAAAAGATTTTTTTAAATACTTACTTTTTAGTTCTAGGTGTAAGGTCTTTATTTTACTTTATGTGTTACTGAGGATCAAACCCAATGCCTCACGCATGCTAGGCAAGCGCTCTACCTCTTAGTCACAACCCCAGCCCAGAAAAAGATTTTTAATAAAACATTTTAAAAAGTAAACATCACAGACTCATAAAGGAAAACATAATTATTTCTCAACAATCCCCACTATGAACAGCATAATTGGGGAGTTTATGCTATTGAAGCTTACTATGTATGTGATCCTGTTGTTAGTAGTAGATGATGGTGATGCATGGGTTGGTGTGCCCACATGTTTTTGTGCTATTTATCTCTTTGCTTGATGGCTGCCCTTCATAAGATCATGAATTATAATGTATTCAAATTTGTTTTCTCTGAAACAAGGAAGAACAGATGAGGCAGTGGAGTGCACTGAAGGTAGTATAATTCTTTGGTTCAAGACCAAGGCTCTTGCATGCTGGTTGCTCTGGGGACTGGTGAAGTGCTCTAGCTTACTGAGTGCAGTGATGGAAAAAATACTAGCTCTAAGAAATTATTTTGATTGAAGAATAATGTATGTTAGTCATTGAAGTTTTATGAATTGCCACAGATGCTATTAAACCGAAATTCTGAAATTATTAGTCTTAAGTTGATTTTCTGTTGTATATAACAAAGCTCCTGCATAACTTGTTTTAAATAATGAACATTTGTGATTAATCCTTAATGTTGATTTTTATCGTACAAAAATTTATATAATATGTAGCTATATTGTCATGAATATTTGTTTAGATTACTTTATCTGTTAGCCTTTATAAGATGCCCCCCAAATGCAAATGTAGTTACTATAAAAGTTTCAGAACAGGAGATTTGTTGTTTATTACATGTTTTAATCAAATAGTAAATATTCTGAAAATAATACGAGAATTTTTTAAGCTACAAATCTATAGATTATAGTCACCTGTACCATAATGTGTAAAAAATGGAAAATCTACTTCAACACAAACTTCTAATATATTTTAATTAGCCAAACATTGTACTTAAATTGTAATGAGTAAAGAGTAAATATTAAAACTTAGATACCTTCCCTTAGTGTGCTGTCACATTGATTTTTAAAATTATGTCTGTGGGGCTGGGGATGTGGCTCAAGAGGTAGCGCGCTCGCCTGGCATGTGTGCGGCCCGGGTTCGATCCTCAGCACCACATACAAACAAAGATGTTGTGTCCGCCAAAAACAAAAATAAATAAATAAATATTTTTAAAATAAATAAATAAATAAATAAATAAATAAATAAATAAAATTATGTCTGTGGATAGCAAAGTATTTTTTCACTTGCTGCCTCTTCAGACTACTACATAATCTTGGGTTCTACTTGGATAAAGTAAGAAAATAATGTTAAATCATGTTTTCTGGTTTTCTTGTCTTTCATATCTCCTGTCTTTCATATCATATCACTTTAAAATACTGTAACTATTGTTTTTATCCTGGTACATGGTAATAAATAAGAATTTTCTCACATAAGGGAGTTCTAATCCATGATATGTTAACCCTAGGTGAGAGAGCCATGTGAAGATTTACTCATCAAACATCTCTCTAACTCCTTTTTGCCTAATTGCATATTTTCTTTTAAACATCCTAATATTGGATACCTGACCACTGTGAAAATAAATAAAAAGAGAGCACTGTCATTTGGCTTCATGGTGATGCATGTGATTATTACCCTGCCATGCTGCTTCTATACCTGCACAATTTCTCAAGTAATTTTTTTCAGTGGCAAAAAAATACAAAAATTTGTTTTTTTCAGACAGCTCTATTCAGAACACGTAGAGATGAAAGTCTAGTGGTGAAGTTGCTCCAAAAATTTCAGAATGAAAAGTTAGATCCAATTTTTTCTAAAGAGCCTATAAAGATATTTTATAGTTGGTGAATTGATACATATTGTGAACAGTATCCCATGTTATATCTTTTTTTAACCTACAAAATATAATGTCCTCTATTTCATTTTGTGTATTTTGTTAAAATGTTTGATTAGGACAAGGGACAGAGGTTGAATAGGTGAAGTCTAGGGGTTTGGGTGGCATGGAATCTGTCCTATGTTAAAACTGCAGCAGTAATGCACATGTACAGATTTTAAACAATCACTTAGGAGGCCAGAGGAAGGGTCCCCCACAATGGAATGCAGAATATGCCCAAAGCACCTAACTGTATGACAAACATGTGAAACAGCCTTGCTAAGAATGTACTGACATAACTACTGGAAATGAATGTAGTCTAAAACTGAAGGCAGAAGAAATTTTCCACACCCCATGCACTGCTTCATACCACTCTTAGATTGATTTATGCCACATATAATAATAAAATTTCTGCATAACACTTTATGAATAGTATAACATTTGCAATGTATTGTTAATGTTAGTTTTTACCTTCATAAAATTTTTTGAAGAATTTTAGAAATAGTGGCTATATTGACATGGACATTTGCTTGGAATATTTTAACTGTTCTTGAGCCATGGTAAGATGACCCAGAGTGGGTACAGGCTAATTCTAAAACCACTCTACTTCTCTGAAGCATAATCACTTTTTGAGAAACCATGAGTAACCAGGAGGAAAACGTCAGGTAAAGCCCAGTAAAAGGACATTCTACAAAATACCTGACCAATTTCTCCTCAAGACTGTCAAATTCATTGGAAATAAGGAATGTCTGAGCAATTGTTTCCTAAATGGAGTCCTAGAACAAAAATTAATATAAAATGGCTCATTAGTCATGACAGATACGCCATACTAACCTAAGATGATTAAAAAGGGGGGAGGGGACTAAGTCAGTGAGTACAGGAACCCTCTTCACTATCTTTCAGTAGTTTTGTAAATTTTATAATGTTCTAAAATTAAAGTTTTGTTAGTTTCAAGAAGTTTACAGTTGCCACAAATAGACCTCTTATGAGTTCCCCCCCCCCATAATTGGCCAGAATATCTAAAACTTTGAACAAATTGTGAGTGAATTTATTTAAATTTTCAGTATTTAATGAAAGCAACAGTAGCTTAATAGTCCTAAATGATGTCCACAACAGCATTCTTTCCTATGCAGTATTTGCATGGCTTCTTCATTTAGTTTGAAAAGTTCTAAACTAATAAAACATTATGACATAATTTAAGAACCCCAAAACTACTTCTCTAGTCTGTTTGTGTGAAATTGGCAGATTATTTAAAGTAATGTATTTTCCCTTATTCTGTTTCAGATGAACTAAATGATTTTGGGCATCCTGGTGAGTAGTACAAACATAAAATGTTTTAGTTTAAATTTTTTTAAATATTTTTTTTAATTGTACACAATACCTTTATTTTGTTTATTTATTTTTATGTTGTGCTGAGGATCAAACCCAGGGCCTTGCACATGCTAGGTGAGCGCTCTACCGCTGACCCACAACCCCAGCCCCTAGTTTTAAATTTTTAAGTGATTGAATACAGTAAAAACACCATAGATAATTCTTGGTACAGTAATAATAGTAATTTTTTTTGTTGAAAGAATATAATTTAGAGGTGAAATTACTTACATGAAGTTGAATTTCATGCAAGTGAAACAAAAATAATGGTAGAAAACTAAGTATTTGAGGCAGTATAAAATACTATTGTATTTTTTATAATTGTGCATTATTCCTTATATCATAAACAAGAGTTAATGGGTAATATGATGATCTTTAATTTGGTAAAATCGAAGTAGGTTTGAAAGAGTGATAGTGGCTGGAGTGCAACTCAGTGCAACTCATGGCTAGCATGCTTGAAGCCCTACGTTTGATTCACAGCACTGCAAAAAAAAGTGACAGGCTACATTTCCGAACAGGTCATACTTTAGCCCATGTTCTCCATTCTGGAGGCAAAGAATGCATCTGAAGTAGCTGGGTAGGTCACCTTCACCTGAGGTGAGATGTGTGTGAATGGGGAAAGCTGGCACTATGCAGGTAGGCTTCTCAGTGACCATTAAGAGACTGACAGATGGCAGGAATATGCAGGCTGTATTAAGAATCTAGGCTGATTTTAATCAGAACAGATTTCTGAACAAGATAAAGGAAGACTTTAACTAGGATAAAAGGTCTATCAAAATGTAAAGCAGAGGATGTCAGTATAGCTTATGAGCATTCTAAAAGGTGCAGATAGATTTGTGAGACTGTGAATAGATTTGAAAGTAAAAGCATGCAGCAATAATTAAGAAGGGAATTATATAATCTAATGTCTATAGAAAGTCATTATTTCTCATTATTTTAACACACATAACTAGTTTGTGTGTTTTTTGTTTGGAGTTTTTGTTTGTTTGGTTTTTGGTTTTGGCAATGTGAGGAATCAAACCCAGGGCCTTGTGCATGCCATGCAAGCACTCTACCACTGAGCTATACCCAAGCTCCTATTTGCTATTTGCTATTAATTAAATTAATAGTTTAAACTATTTAATTAATAGTTTTCTATTTCATTAATAAAGATCTATCATTCTAAATGCTGTTTGAGCTGTGCTAATTGCTTATTGGCAACCTAGATAAAGCAAAAAAAAATAAATAAATAACACCATTACCAAAATATATCAGTTTCCTTGCTGTGATATCCTCGAATTCATGTGAAGCCTGAGACTTGCTTCAAACATTCAGAACTGAATACAGTTGAGAACCATCAGATGTTGTTTCACTTGGTCTACATTGAATCCTTATTCCTAAATTTATTATTTCTTGCCCTTTCATGAACATTGTGAAGTTATTTCATAAAACCTTCTGCTTACATCCATTACTAAACTTCTAAAATTTTCCTGCCCCTCTTCTTCCTTAACTCCCCAAGATTCATAGAGACAAAAAATTTGAGTTTAAAAAGAGGGACACATGGCTGGCCAGTAGCACATGCCTGTAATCACCATGGCTCAGGAAGCTGAGGCAGAAGGATTGCGAGTTCAAAGCCAGCCTCAACAAGTTAGTGAGGCCCTAAGCAACTCAGCAAGACCCTATTTCTAAATAAAATATTATAAGGATTGGGAATGAGGCTTAGTGGTTAAGCACTCCTGGTTTCAATCCCTGGTACAAAAAAAAAAAAAAAAGTGACATGGGCGAAGTTTGTGTTTGTAATAGGCTCCTGTAGCATTTATTTTACTAAATGTGTGAATAGTTACCCTCCCTACAGAATTGGGCATACAATGGATTGAACTGCATCTTTCCCTCCCTCTCTTCCTGGTGGCTTTCAAGGATGAGAGGGATTTCATTCTATGTAGAATAAAGGTAAGAGTGTAGGATCAAGAATGAGACTCCTTCAGTCAAAATCTAGATTTGCTACTACCAGCTTGACAGCTTTGGGCAAGTGACTGAGTTGAACCTCTTTCTTTATCTGTATGATGGGGTTGATGATAACACATACTTCATGGGGTAAAGTGAGGTCTAATTAAATCTGTTGTGTAGAGAGCAGTTATAACAGTGCCAACCAAAGCATCAGTGTTACTGCTGGTACTTATTCTTAACACCACTCCCATTTTCAGATTGTTATTGCTAGTAAAGTATTAAGGATTATTACCCCAGTTTTGTCATTCAGTTATCAAAGGAACTCCCCTACCTTGATTCCAATTCCATTCATCCTTATATAGTTTTATTAAAAATCTGGACTTCTTAAAGGGAAGATCAGTAGTGTAGAAGATTTTAGAGGCAGAATGGAGGGATGGGAAATGGAAGGGTAATACAGAATGAATTCTTTAAAAATCATGTGTGTGTGTGTATGTGTGTGTGTGTGTGTGTGTGTGAATTTCACCTTTATATATAAGTAAAATAATCAAATATAAATAGATGAATGAAAGGAATAGAGGAAGGACAACAGGGGAGGGATGGGAGGATGGAAAGGAAAAGTGGGGGATCGTGATCTGAAATTGAATTCCATGCATATATGAATTTGTTGGGATGAACCCAGCTATAACGCATAACTCTAAAGCACTAATTTAAAAATCTGAAAATTTTAAAACAGTAAATTAGTTATTAGGAACTAGATGTACTTTTTTTTCCTTTTAAAGTCTTTCTTTGTTTTTGTTGTTTTGTTTTGCTTGCAGTTGAACCCAGGGTTAAATTCTTTATATTTTAATTGACATATAATATTTGTACTTATTTATGGAGCACAATGTAATCTGATACATGTATACAGTGTGTAATGATCATATCATGCTATAATTAGCATCTTCATTTCAAATGTTATCAGTCCTGTGTGTAAGGAACCTTCAAATGCTTCTCTCATTATTTCGAAATGTGTATGCAGTTGCAGGTTTTTTTTTTTTAATTTGTTATATATGACAGCAGAATGCATTACAATTTATATTACACATATAGAGCACAGTTTTTCATATCTCTGGTTGTACACAAAGTAGAGTCACATCATTCGTCTTCAAACATGTACTTAGGGTAATGATGTCCATCTCATTCCACCTTTTCTACCCAAATACCCCCTCCCTCCCCCCCTTGCTCTATCCAGAGTTCATCCAATTCTCCCACACCCCCACCCAACCACAATATGAATCAGAATCCTTAAATCAGAGAAAACATTTGGCATTTGGGTTTTGGGGGGATTGGCAAACTTTACTTAGCATTATATTCTCCAACTCCATCCATTTACCTGCAAATGCCATGATGTAATTCTCTTTTAATGCTGAATAATATTCCATTGTGTATATGTACCACATTTTCTTTATCCATTCATCTACTGAAAGGCATCTAGGTTGGTTCTACAATTTAGCTATTGTGAATTGTGCTGCTATAAATATTGATGTGGTTGTGTCCCTGTAGTATTCTGTTTTTAAGTCCTTTGGGTATAGTATGACAGAACTCCTCTACCTCCTCTGTGTTTTGGTGCCCATTGTCTATCTCCCCTCCCCTTTCCAGCCTTTAGTGAATTCTGTTCTACCATATTCTTCATTTTAATGACTTTGCTGATGTTTTCATTCATTACTTTCTCACATCTTTAGCTCTGAAAATATTTGTATCATAAATAATAACATCTATTTTGCTTTCTTTATCTTTATATAGATAATAAAGAGCAAACAACTGACCAGCCTTTGGGTGAGTAGAGTTTAAAGTGCATAATCAAATATAATTAACATAATTTAATTCTATTTTTAATGATCATGAAGGGATTTAAGATATTTTAACTTGGTTTTATAAACATTTGAATGTTGAGACCTTTTTTTTTTTTTTCCTGGTACTGGGATTGAACCCAGGGTGCTCTACCACTGAGCCACTTCCCAGCCTTTTTTATTTTTATTTTTACTTTTATTTTGAGACAGGGTCTTGCTAACTTGCCAGAGCTGGCCTTGAACTTGTAATCCTCCTGCCTTAGTCTCCCAAGTTGTTGCTAAGATTACAGGTGTAATCCATTTAGGACCAAGCATTTATTTTTAATATTTTTAGAAGAAATTAGAAAAGAAAGAGGCTTTAAAAAGATGACAAATTCCATTTCAGGGGTCGGTTTTTGTGTTTTTCACTGTATGTAATCAAAGAGAAACATGTGCCTGTTAAATAGATCATAAAAAGGAAGTGCTTAACATGACTTCTTGGTGGGGTAGAAATTAGAAAAGCCATAGGGATTGCAGTAAATTTTGGCATTTGATTTCCCATCCTGTCCAGTGGGAACAGAAGAGAATGAAGGGCAAGATATAACTGAACAGTTGCATTTAAAGAATGCTTAGAGAAGAAAATATAAGGGAGAAAACCAAGAAAATTGGAGAATATCCAGGAGATACCATGTAAAAGTTAGCAGATTAACATTTAAAAAGGGTAAAAACAGTCAATATATTGATTTCAGTGGAAGTCAGGTAAGGAAATATCTAAAATTCACCACTGGATTTGATTACTGAAGAAGCCATTTTTACTTTTAGTGAAATGTCAACAGCGCCCACCTAAAATGAGTCAGTTACTGAGCTTTTGCTGGCGGTTCAGATGTAGGTAAAATATGTAGATAAAGAATAATTCAGAAGTGAACATGTGGCCGGAGTTGGGGCTCAGTGGTGAGTGCTTGCCTAGCATGTATGAGGCACTGAGTTTGATCCCTGGCACCACATAAAAATAAACAAATAAAATAAAGGTATTGTGTCCATCTACAACTAAAAACTTTAAAAAAAAAAAGTGAACATGTGAAAACAAAAACAAATTAGTTTGTTGAGGAAAATGGCAATGCAAGATTCATTGGATAGATGTATAATCAATGTTCTTGAAAAGGTGGGAGAAATACAAGGCTTTACATTTGAGAGGTGGGCTCTCCTGAAACTGCAGGTGAGAGGTTACAGGGTTCCATCAAAGAGAAGACAATTTATGGAGTAAGTTCATAGAGATATTAGGGATTTGGGCCAAGATGGGAAAAGGAGAAATTGGCTCTAAGTGGAATATTGAAACCTTATTTTGTGGGAGAGAGAGGGGTGATTTAGCAGGAAGGAGAGATTGGTAAAGATGTAGAAAGATTTGTCAGGAAGTTGACATTTTTCAATTGATGGTTTTCCTTTCTGGGTAATTCTGTTTAAAGAATTGAGAAAAAGAGTAGAGTAAGATTAAATATAGAACTTGGGCAATAGCAGAGATTTAGGGGCTAAAGAAAATTAAAGCTACCATCTCCAAGAATATGGAAGGAGTCAAACTAAGACTTTTAAAAATTAGGATTTATGGGCTGGGGTTGTGATTCAATGGTAGAGTGCTCACCTAGCATGCTTGAGGCACTGAGTTCAATCCCCAGCACTGCATAAATATAAAATAAAGATATTGGGTCCACTTAAAACTAAAAAATAAATATTTTTTTAAAAAATTAGGATTTATAATGCTACAAATCAGTTTTGTGACTTCTCTGTAACAATTCAGCTTTTTAGAGAAGGAAGACTGATGGACTAGTTTTCCTGCTCCTTTCTGCAAGCCAGGCACTGAGGTAGAGTTTACAGGGCACATCCAGAAGGAGCAAGTATTTAGAGAAATTAAACAAGGGATAAAGACTACACAAGGAAAGACAGCCTTAAAAAGTTTAGTAGATGGGCTGGGGATGTAGTTCAGTGAAAGAGTACTTGCCTAGCATGTTCAACCCCCAGTAGGGTCCAACCACCAGTACTACCAAGAAAAAGCAGGAGAATATGAGGATCAGGAGACGAAGAGTTTACTGAGTTGAAAGAAAAAATATAGGGGCAAAAATGTTAACAAATAAGAGGCCAGAGAAGAAATAACATTGTTTGGGGTTTCAGAGGTGCAGCAGCTTAGGTGACAGCAAGGTTCAGGATTTGCTCGTGGAACTGGCAACAGTGAAGGTAAAGCCTTTGGTGCTAAAGAAGACAAGGGACTAGGAATTACTGCATTTTTTAAAAAGCTGCTCTGTTTCATTCATAGTGGTAAGTTGTTGTGCATTGCAGGTCTGTTATCTTTCCTCTAGAACCCTAAGCCTCAGTTGTTAAGGAAGTCCTATTAGAATAGTATCCTGAACAAAGCCATGGCTATTCTATCCTTATATATGTATGTAAGTACACAGTATGATGAGGTCCAAATGTAACCGGCTGATAGTTGAAGATGGTTTCGTAGAATATCAAATACACTAATATTAGTGTAATACCAGTAAATTAAGTGTTTTCACTTGGTGAAATGTATAATTATGCCTTGAGATGTAGACACTTTCCTCATGTTTTGTAGATGATAATTTAAAGCTATAAGTGGTTTGTTGGTACTATAGACTGAACACAAGGTACTTTATATTTTTTTATTTAGAGATAAGTTCTTGCTAAGTTGCTTGGGACCTTGCTATATTGCTAAGGCAAGCCTTGAATTTTTGATCCTCTTGCCTCAGCTTCCTGTCACTGGGATTACAGGCATGAGCCATTGTGCCAGCTAAAACTCTTTAAGTGTTTAATGAAACTTGTTTAGGATTACAAATTTCATAGCTGAGGATCAATACCCAGGAGTATTGATATACCCTGATATACCCAGGAGTTCCACAGCTTCTTTTATGTTGGGTGTCCTTTCTCAAGCTGTACTAATTGAAAGAATAGTAAGATAAACTAAAGATCAGCTTAGCTTTTATCATGAAATTCACCAAACGTTAAATGTCTCATCTATGCTACCCTTTGTGAAGTAAGAGAATAAGCCTTGGCTCCTGAACTCAGGGCATTGCAATCCTAATAAGGGACGCAGATGTTAAGTGAATAATGCAGTACATGATGCGTGCTATAACACAAATAGACATGTAATACATGCCATACAAGCAATAGGTAAAGAATTTAGAAATAGTTCAGAAATTGTTCATGGAAGATGGTAATCAAATTTGTTCAAGAAGATCCCAGGGAAGGCGTTACCTAAGAGGCAAAGCCCAGGTGAGAATTTTCAGATAAATAGGAGGATCCCAAGTAGACAAAGTGAGAATAGTATTTGAGGCAAAAGGAATGAAGCATGGTGAGCATGGAGATATGAGACCTGGGTAGGGAATAAGCAGGTCAGTACTGTGGGAAGGCAGAGTCCTAGGAAAGGAATTTACAGATTAGAGTGGTAGTGTAGTCTATTGCTGAATAACAGTATTCCAAAATTTACTATCTTAAAAACAGGAGTTTTATTCTCTCTCATGATTCTGCAGTTCATCTGGGTTCAGCAGCTGATTCTTGACTGTTTTCCTTTAGGAACAATCATTGGTGTGCAGTTACTTAGTGATCAGGACCGCAGCATCCAAGATAGCTTTGCTCACGTATTTTTAGTTTGTAAAACATGGGGGGAGAGTCATTAAAAGGTTTAATGCATCAGAATAATAAGGACTATATATTTAGCCAGTCAGATTGTATGCTGTTACTCAATTTTTGATGCATATGCAAAGATTTTTTTATTTAACAAATATTTAATAGTACTTAATTTGTACCAGTCCCTTTTCTAGGTACTAAGGGATATTAACTCATTTTGAATAAGTAACATAATAATTAGACTTATTAGGTACAAAATTAATCATATAAAACTTTACCAATTTTTGAAGAACACTGCATTAAACTTCAGAAGAGGTCTAGATCATGTAGTAAAATATCTTTCTGAAATGGTTTCATTTTTCTTTTGTGTAATGAATTAGCATTTTTGTTTATTTTTTTAATCCTATTTTTGGGAGTAGCAGTTCTGGGGATGGAATGCAGGGCCTCATGCATGCTAACATGAGCTCTACTCCTGAGCTACACCCCCAACCCCATGTTTCTTTTTCCACTAAATGAATGGGTTGTGTTCAAAAAGTTGTGGTTGGTTCTTACAGTTAATGTTTTCATAAAAAATTTCTTGCATTTATTTTTTATATGAAAACCCAAACATAAATTGTATAGTTACTGTTTTGAAGTTTTTTCTTTATTCTTCTCCCTTAACTCCTCAAATTCAAATTTTACCATTTTTTCTCTGTCCTTTCTCTAAAGTTTTACTCTTTCTTTCTCTTTCCACAACCAGTTTTCTGGAATAAGTCTTTGTCATCTCTCATTTCAACCATAGCATCTGCTTCTCTGTTCTAAATCCACCCCAGTTCTCCTGCCATCAAGGAACTGCTTCACAAGTAGGTGAGGCAAGGTAGGATTTACTTGTATAAATTTTCTTAACATTAATTTGAAGAAAATGCTCTATGGGATTTTAGGAACTGCCTATTAAAAACTATCATTGGGGAAAATTTTGGAAGAGTTATGGGCCATTATTGTTGATACATACATTGTAAGGCATATAGTTCTCAAATTGTTGAACCTTGGCATTCTCTAAACTGTACTCTTCTTTCCCAAATATAGTCTGTGTCATTTAATGACAGCAATATGTTCTGAGAAATGCTCTGTTAGGCCATGTAGGTCAATTACTGAATGTGGCCCCAGTACAGTTGAGATATAGTAAACATAAGATGTATGAGACTGCTGTCAGCATAACAAGGCAATTGTACAGTGAACTTCTTTTAATGTAAGTAGAAGGTGTACACTCTACAATAACACTGATTAATTTAAAATATATAAGCTAATAGCATAGTCACTTATCATCCTTTTCAAATATGTCCTATAGGTCATTGAATGTGCTATATTTTCATATGACAGGCTGCATAATATATTGTTTACACCTTTTGTCCCCACCCTAGACCCTCAAAGAAAGGTAGTGGTAAAGTCTCTTAAGCCCTAAGCTGGTTGTTTAGAGCAAGTCACACACCTGATTAAGCTAGCTGGTACTTTTAAGGCATTAGGTATAGGTATCTTACACACACACACACACACACACACACACACAGAAGAGCCTATTTTTATCAGAACCCACTCTTTAGCAAAGTCTCACAGTACACTGAGCTCACATATCCCTCAAATAGCCTCATGACAGACAGGAAGTATTTTCAAAAGAAGTTAGGAGAAGACAGTAGTAGCTTTACAGAGCTACTGCAGAAACAAATAATACAATCCTGCTGGAGTTTCTTCTTTTCTCTGATCTTTTCCCTTACTTGCTCTGATAAGACTTCTTTATGTCTCTTTTTTAGGTATTTCTTTTGTTTTTACCTCTTCTATTCTCAGCAAAACAGGACCTAATTTGATGGGGACTCAATTCTAAATATTCTTTGTTTAATTTGCTCTGAAAGTCTAGTTGAATATTATTTTGTTGTAATTCCATAAGAGTATGGGGGGGGGGGGCGGTGGCAGTACTGGATTGAATTCAGGACACTCGATCACTGAGTCACATTCCCAGCCCTAATTTGTATTTTATTTAGAGTCAGGATCACACTGAGTTGCTTAGCACCTCACTTTTGCAGGGGCTGGCTTTGAATTCATGATCCTTCTACCTCAGCCTCCCAAGCCACTGGGATTATAGGCATGCGCCACTGCTCCTGGCAATAAAAGTGTATTTTAATGTTAGTTACCATTGTATTTCTTTGCAGCTAACAAATATCCTTTACCTGGTCCTCACAAGTATTTGTAAGCTTAATTTCAGTTGTTTGTTCATATAGCCTCTTAAGTCCCTTCATGTGTTGATTTCCTACATAAAGCAATAGTACTAAAATGAAATTAGATTATGATAAAATCTTATTTGAAATGAAATGATACAATCTTAAAGCAAAAGTACATTAAAATGATATCATTTCCATAGGTATTAATTTGTGTATCCTCCTTTAAACCTACGATGCCCCCCCCTTTTTTTTTTACAGCAAAGGACAAAGTTGCTCTTTTGATAGGAAATATGAATTACTGGGAGCACCCCAAACTTAAAGCTCCTTTGGTGGATGTGTATGAATTGACCAACTTACTAAGACAGCTAGATTTCAAAGTTGTTTCATTATTGGATCTTACTGAATATGAGATGCGTAATGCCGTGGATGAATTTTTACTGCTTCTAGACAAAGGAGTATATGGTAAGATATTTATAATATCTTTATAATTATCTACTATTCTCATTGTACAAGTTAAGAATTGAAAATTAGGGTAAAGGTAAGATAAATACATTATTGAAGAGTTTTATTTTTCTTATAAAAAAAAGATAAATTTGATCTTCATTCCATGTATAACTGATAACTTTTTAGCTCAATGTCTTTACTTTTATGTTTCTTATTTCATCAAAACAATATTGTTCTTATTAGACTTATTAGCAGTCTTTTGTGATTTTATTTTTTATTGATTATGAGAGCTACCATATAGTAAAGCTTGGTGATCAAATAGGAAAAGATACTTTCGTATATGTAAAATAATAAATATGAAAGGTTGTACCAGAATATACATTGTGGGGGTTTTTTCCTCCTTTTTCCTAATCATTGTGTGGTGTTTTGTAGTTTTTTAGTGAGAACCAGATTTTAATATGGAAATGTTGGTGAACAAGGTATATAATTTTTTTTCTTTTTTTCTTTTTTGATGCTGGGGATTGAACCCATAGCCTCACATATGCTCTGCCATTGTGCTATACCCCTGGCCTAGTCAGTTTAGAAATTAAAAATCCAGATAGCCAGGCATGATGGTGCCCACCTCTAAACTCAGCAACTTGGGGTGAGGCAGGAGGATCACAAGTTTAAGACTAGCCTGGGCAACATAGCAAGACCCTGTGTCAGATTTTAAAAATAAAAATAATAAGGGCTAGGGATGTAGCTCAGTGGTAAAGTGCCCTTGGTCAATCCCCAGTACTGAGAGAGAGAGCCTATACAGATATGATTCAAATGTTAATGGTTTTTCCCATTCTTTTACTTAAATATATTAAGACACTGCATGTCTGATAAAGAATTTTTAAAGCAACAGAATATGTTTCCAGTGGTAATTTGTCAATTTATTTCTTTTAATATGCGCAACCTCAAACATCAGTAGGCCAGCCGTTGAGCTCATCTGAACTGTATTTCTGAAAATTGTGCTTACTATGACATTGTGCAATAACATTTGACTGCCAGGAAAATAACACTTCCAGGGCTATCCTTAGGCATACAATCAATTAAAAAAAAAAAGTTTCAATTTTACTTTTATATGTTTCAAGTAATTTTACTTTAATAATTTATGGATTTTGATTTTTTATTTATAATTAGATTGATTAATCAGGCAAGTTGGCAGAATTGCTCATAATTCTCAAAGTAGAATTTTTAATAGAACAAAAAGCATTTCTTTCAAGATTTAGCACACTGAGTATAAGAGATGAGGAAAAGTCTTAAAATCTTATTTAGGCCGGCATGGTGGCATACACCTGTAATCCCAATAGCTCAGGAGGCTGAGGTAGGAGGATTGCAAGTTCAAAACCAGTCTCAGCAACTTAGTGAGGCCCTAAGCATCTTAGTGACACGCTATCTCTAAACAAAATATTAAAAAGGGCTGGGGATGTAGCTCAGTGGTTAAGTACCAAAGGAAAAAAAAAAATCTTATTTAAATGACTTTCATTTTCTGAATAATGAGAATTACCACTGTGACACAGCTGAAGTTAACAAGGTAACTACTATTTGCAACTTCAGCTATTATGTTCATGTTGTAATAGTATAACTTTGCTAATGAGCATTATGGGATGATAACTGGTGGGTGCAACCATCCATTTTTCTTATGAAAATAGGAAAGAATATACTGTACTAAGATGCCCTATTACTGACTTATACTTTCATCTTAGACTCAGGTGGATTGCTTAAGTGTATTCATCTCAGTTTTTAAGGTACCTAAATAGCTTAAACATGAAAAGTCTTCAAAACTTCTTTAGAAGCAATGAGATATAAGAAAAAATATTGGTAAATTTAGATTTCTGGATTGGTAAACTATTGAGAGTGAAGGAATTCTCTGAAAAAGTATGTACTCGAGTATCTATTCTTATTTTTATTGACAGTGTCACCTTGCTTTTTAAGCCTTTTATTTGGCTAATCAAATCAAAACCTTTAATTGTCCCTGCTAAATAGAGAACCAGAAATATAAAAAGCTGGGGAAAGATTTCAGTTGAGGCCCCACTATAAAAACAATCATCTTGGGGTACAGAGTAAAGAGACATGTTAGGGCAAAATGGTAGCTTAAGGAAGCTAGAACATTTTTAAATCCCACTGATTCATGTCTTAACAGGGTGGCTGCATTTTATTTTGAAGTATTGTGACTATCCAAAACATCAGACACATCTACATTAAATGTAAGTGTGTTAAAGGCCTGAGGGTTTAGGGCATTTCATAAATAAACCTTTAATTTTTGTTTGGACTGTGCCTTTGACTCTGATTGATATCCCCAGATGACTGGTAGTACCTGAGGGGTGGAGAGGAGGTGAAGGTAGAGTCATGGGGATTTCAGCTTGAACAATTTTAGGTTAGAAAAACATAGGGACTCAAGTTTATGCCATTATATTATTATGTTATTTATGGGCTTGTAAAATATAAGTTACAGTAGAACAGAAAATAAGTAATTCAAAATATATGAAACGTATGTTTACAAATGCCTTAAAAATAGAAATAATTGAATGATATTAGGTGTCCTTGAAGATAAGTAAGATAAAGATTTTTAGTTATATAGATAGCTAAGGTAAAAAGTAACTGTTTGGCCTATTATCAATCCACCAAATGCTTTAGTATGTTCATCACTGGCTGCAGCTTATCTGTGCTTTTGTGGGGAAGAAATAAAAGTGTCTGGTCAAAAGATGGCAGAAGCCTTGTTCACCGAGGAAGAGTTTGTCATTCAGTTCTTGGCAGCTCAGTGGTTAAGAAGGAGGCCTCAGAGTAAGCTAGCCCAGGCTCAGGCTCTGGCTTTTCTGCTTACAAGCAGTGTAACTAAGGTGGTTTACCTTTTCTAAGCCAACAGTGATCTCAAAAAATGATTAGTAATAAATTAATGGGATTGGTAAAGGAAAAGTAAGAGCAAATAATTACTTCCGTGCCAGCACCTTGAAGTGCTCAAAATATTGCAGCAGTGACGACTTCCTGAAAATTTATTAAGGAAATTAATTCAACCTTTATTTTTAGGTTGAGGATTTAGACTAGGCAGCATTCTGCTTTGGGCCTCCATTAGGTTTCTAAGGAGGTGGGGGGAGAGGAGTTTATAAAGTATTAAAATAGTGAGAAACTGGTATACTAACATTTTATACTTTATATTTCCTGAGAATAATGTTAAATAAAAAGTCAGCAGTAAATAATAGAGACAGTATAATACAGCACAGTGATAAACTGGCCTACATTCAAATTCTGATTCTATCACTTTTAGTGGTTTGAATTCAGGTAAGCTTATAAACTTATTATTGTCTGTTTTCACATCTGTAAAGGGGGAATGATAATATAATATTATATACCTTGTCCTAAGGATTATATGAGGTCACATAACTGAAGTGCTGTCCTGGAGCCAGACCTGGCACAGCAAGTTCTCTTGAGTCTCCCAGAGGTGGGGTTGACCTCATCAGAGCACTGTGCTACGTGGAGCGCAGATCCTCTCGGGAGGGAGAGTTTTTTAGAGAAGTGAATATCTCCTCTGTGGTCAGAAGTAAATAGCTTTGGCAAATTTTATTCCTGAAAATCATATTCCAGAGAAATAAATACCCTAAAGATCTATTGTGCAGAATTATATCTCTGACTATGTTAGGTTCTTTGACATTTTATAGACATCTATATTGTCTTCTGTCCTTGAGTAATGGGTTAGTTTATTATTACTGGATATGGAATTTTTAAAATAAATCTCAACTACTTTACATAAAAACACTTAATATAATTTGGTTGCAGGCTTTAATAGAAAATGTTTATACTTTTCATGAATCTTCTTGGGAAGAAGACGTATTTTGGTTTAAGTACCTTGATTTCAGCAGTTAGAAGGCTGAGCATATGACTGACACAGTAGAACCATACCTAGCTTTCCTCTAGATGAATGGAAACAAACCTTCCCTCTCTTCTCTCCCTAATTTGCTTCTTCTCCCAGACCAAATCTTACTAAAGCTATGCATTTTCAATGATATGATGTGGGTAGCACCCAGGCTTTCTGGTTGATGCTCTCTAATACCCATAGTTAGAATAGCACCACTTCTACTTAAATCAGACCCTTTACAAAAGGGCTCTATATCTGATTCTGTCTTGATCAGTTTGATATAATGCAGTTCAGTAAGTACTTACTGGATTCCTATCATATCCACAGTCCAGATAAGAAATGTGCTACTGCTGAGAGCAATATAGAGAATAAAGAACAAGATCTATTCTCTCAAGAAAATTATAGTTCCTTAATATAATGGGACAAAGCACTGTCTGTGGAGTCTATTCACCTATCAGTTGTATGACTTTAAGCAAATCATTTAATCTTTTTAATTTTCTCATCTATGTAGGTAGGAATAATTTATAGATTGTGTTATATGTATTAAAATTAGATTGTATGAAAGTACATGTCACTATGATCATTTTCTATCAGAAAAACTGAAGTGTGTGTACAACTATACAATGTTAGTCAAAGCCAGTGATTGTTAAAAAGTACTGCCACCACTTTTCAAAGCAGGGAGAGATTGCAGTATGTTAGAAAGATATAAGCAAATGATAACTTGCCCAGGAGTCTGAACTTGAGATGCTATTTGAGGATAGGTTAAAATATAGGGCAATCAAAGAAAAAAAGTCATGAAGATTCAAAATAAGCAGTGAAGTCACTGATGGGGAAATAGAGTCATATTTTGAATACTTAGTATCAATTTTACTTTTAAAATGTATAATTTAGTGGGTCAGACTGTCCCCAAAGTTGTGCACTGGTAATCACCAACTCTCTACTTTCTTTAACCCAAAAAGAAACCCATTAGTAGTCAGTACTTTTCCTCCATACCCTACCTTTTTCTATCTTTATGGACTTGCCTATTCTGAACATTTCATATAAATGCAAATTTAATATATAGTCTTTTATGTCTGCCTTTTACTTAGTGTAAAAATTTTAAGTTTCATCCATATTGTAGCCTGTATCAGACTTTATTATTTTAGGGCTGAATAATATTTCACTATATGAATATACCACATTTTTCCTGTCTGTTTATCAGCAGGTAGGTTTTTGGATTGTTTTCACTTTCTGGATATTATGAATAATGCTGCTGTAAGTTTTTGGGTACACGTTTTTAAGTGGACTTAAGTTTTCAGTTCTCTAGGAGTGGAATTGCTGGGTCATATGGTAATTTTTTGTTTACCTTTTTGAAGAATTGTTAAACTTTCTAAACTTCTTACACCATGTTATATTCCCTCCAGAAGTAATTGGATCTCGATTTCTCTACATCTTTACTTGCACTTTTTATTCTCTTTTTACTATAGATAACCTAGTAAGTGTGAAGTGATATCTTATTGTGGTTTTGATTTGCATTTTCCTAGTGGCTCATGATGTTGAACATTGCTTGCCTGTTCATCTTTTATATATTTCCTAAGCTCCTTCCTTGTGCCAGGAATACACAGATGAATTTAAGACTTCTGTGCACTGAAGGAAATCTTCACCTTTTGAGATAAATGAGCCAGGAAAACAGTCCTACACCCTTTTCTTTATACAACCTGAGATAAAACTGCAATTCATATTATAAATATATTCTTGTATGAATTAGAATACACTTCATACTGCATCTTGATGTCTTAAATGCAGAATTTAAGTAAAGACTGTTGCCTCAATAATTTAAAATGGAAGTTAACATTGACTGAATTTATATTGAGTGTTTCTTAGAGTTAACATCTATCTCTTTTCTCCCTGCCCCTCTCTCCAGGGTTATTATATTATGCAGGACATGGTTATGAAAACTTTGGAAACAGCTTTATGGTCCCTGTAGATGCTCCAAATCCATATAGGTCTGAAAATTGCCTGTGTGTACAAAATATACTGAAATTGATGCAAGAAAAAGAAACTGGACTCAATGTATTCTTGTTGGATATGTGTAGGAAAAGGTAAAATTTTAATGTTTATTAAATTACTTTTGTTTTTAAATATCAACCTTGATAAATTAAACCTAAGGCAAACTTGTAAGAAGTCAAGAACCATTTGAATTTTTGAATTTCTGATTATAAATTGAAACTGAAAGAAGAAAACTAGAAAAAATTCCTTGTTTCTCTATGTATATCAAATTATTTTTATTCTATTCCTGTTTGTCAGAGAATAAAAGTGAAGAACTAAAAGGCATGGTTATCACACTACAAAGAGTTAACTCTCCAGAATGCCTGAACATGTTTCTGACAGTCACTACAGTTATTCCTTCAGGAATTAAAACCATACCCCTAGAGTTAGGACACATCACTAGTTAGCCCTGGATCTGCAAATATTGAAAGGATAGCTGAAGCAAATGTTTAAAGGTTTGGATCCCATTTGCCTGCCACTGCATTGCTAAGGAACAGAACCAATGATTATTGGATTTACTGCTTTTCACTTTCTCAGCATTTACCAATCAAACCCAATGCCCAAGTTTAAATGTACCTCCAGTTTTAAAGCTAACAGAAGATGTGACTGTTTGCCTTTTTGTGTGTGCAGGAGCCTGAGATTATTTTTGGTAAATAAATTGCTGACTAGATGAAGCAATTTGGAACCTGCAATTTTAAATAATTTCTACTAAAATTATATTGTATTTTTCATTATATTATTTATATTCTTTAAAGAATACTGTTCAACTTTTCACATTTGTATCTGTCCTTCTCTCCTTTCTTCCTTTTAAATAGAAATGATTATGATGACACCATTCCAATCTTGGATGCACTAAAAGTCACTGCCAATATTGTGTTTGGATATGCCACGTAAGAAAATTTTATGCTTATGTTGGGATTCCTTTATTTATTCTTTGATGTTTTCTTTTGATTGGAGATTAGAGGCCTAGATGCATAGATATCTAGACATAAATTTGCCTCCTTGATGTTCTTGGTGCAAAGTTTTAAATACTTGACATCAGCACCAAATGTCTTGGTATCTTATTACTAAGCACCAATGCATTTAGTTCCTGCTTAAAGATAACTCTTTAATTAGGGATGTCATTGTAGGGGAGGAGGAGAGAGAATGAAGCTCATCACTGTACATGGATACTCCAGGTAGCAAGTATTTGCTTCTTTAAAAACTTCTTTCTTTAATTTCTTATTCAGTGGATATTGACAAAGTATAGTTTTATGTATTTATGGAGTACAAAGTGGAGTCATGGATCAAACAAATTAACGCATTCATCACCTCAAAATATTTACTGTCTAATAGCATTTTGTCCTTTGACCAGCAACTCCCACTCCCCCTACTTGCCAGTCTCCAGGAATCACCATTCTGCCTTCTGCTTCTCTGTGTTTGATTTGATTAGCCTCCACATGTAAATAAGAATGTGGCTTTTGGCTTTCTGTGCCTGGTTTATTTCACTTCTTTCTCTTGGTGTTTTTAAGGTGTCAAGGAGCAGAAGCTTTTGAAATCCAGCATTCTGGATTGGCAAATGGAATCTTCATGAAATTTTTAAAAGATAGATTATTAGAAGATAAAAAAATTACTGTGTTACTGGATGAAGTTGCAGAAGGTAAAATTTAAAGAAAGAAATCAACTCAGAAAAAGGAGTGGGAGATAAACCTACTCAGGGTTCCCTGTTTGGTGATTATTTTATTCTTACTAGTACCATGTGGATTTGGAATTGACATTTATTTTATAAAACAATTTTTAAATGTAATGTTCATCAGAGCTCCTGCTATTTAATTCCTTTCTTCTCTCCATGCAGTCTTAGCTTCATGGCATTTGTGCAGTATCACTTAGCTGACAGGGCTGACATCAGACACAGTGATAAAGTAATCCTCAGAACTATACCTTGTTTTTGTGCCTGGTGCCTTGATGCTGCCCACTGTACTTGCCTGGAAGAAAGGGGGGATAAAAGGCCAGTGAACAGTCTCTTCTGGGATTAGAGAGAGAATCTTACAGAAATTTTGACACTCTGATAGAAAAAGCCAAGTTCATTCTTTAATTGGTGAACTTAGTATTTTTGAAGCCTGCTGTAAAGGCTTGATCCTAGAGGTCTAATGCTGTGTCTTCTATATCCTCTTGTCCCCTGCCCTGCCTTCTAGTACAGTGCTTGCTGTCTGTGCTCCTGTCAGGTCTGAATAAGTATGTGTTACATCAGTAGATTACAGTGTTGTGGAAATGTCCTTTTATGATCCAGACGAAAAATAAGGTAATGCTAGTGCAAACTAGCACTCCCTAAAAATGAGTTTCATGGATGTTCCTGAGATGACAGTTTGAGTGTAAGTTATTTCACTGGCAACTGTCAGTAACATTTATTTTCATGTTTTTGTCAATGTAGATATTTTAGTTATACCCCATGACTTAACCACTCTCTTAATGTAGCCTGCCAGGGCTTTGGGTTTTCTCCCCACCCTCCTGTTTTTTTCCAGAGAAGTTCTGCTTTTAATTCATTTACACATTGGGCTTCCCTATAAGTGTCAATTGAAGAAAAGATTCTTCTGCTTAAAACAAACAAAAAAAAAAAAAGTAAAATATTTGGATTATATTAGTTATTTTTATACTGAGATCCATTAAGGTGCTTCAGAGCCTCTAAAGTGTTTTTAGTCTAATTTCATTTTTAAAGTATATTTTAAGCTCTGTGTACTATTAGGAAGGCTGAAACAGGGAGGATCACAAACCAGCTTGGACAAAAGGGGCTAGAGATGTAGCTCAGAGGCAGAATATTCCTGGGTTCAATCCCTAGTATCATGAATGAGTGAATATTTCAACTATTTTAAAACAACAGAAAGCACCAGACTGGAGTTGTGGCTTAGTGGTAGAGGGTTCGCCTAGCACAAATGAGACACTGGGTTTGTTCCTTAGCACCACATAAAAACAAATAAATAAAGTTATTTTTAAAAGTATTTTTTATAATGTATGAAATATGATATGTCAAGAGCTTTGTAATGTTTTGAACAACCAATAAAAAATAAAAATAAAAAGTATTTTTTAGGCAATAAATAAAAGTTTATTTTTTTAGGTATTAACTTTATTTTTTTTTAATTTTATCTATATATGACAGCAGACTGCATTACAATTCTTATTATATAGAGCACAATTTTTTATGTCTCTGGTTGTATACATAGTATATTCACATCAATTTGTGTCTTCATACCTGTACTTTGGATAATAATGATCATCACATTCCACCATCATTAATTACCCCATGCTCCCTCCCTTCCCCTCCCACCTCTCTGTCCTATCTGGAGTTCATCTATTCCTCCCATGCTCCCTCTCCCTGTCCCACTATGAATCAGCCTCCTTATATCAAAGAAAACATTCGGCATTTGTTTTTTTGGGATTGACTAACTTCACTTAGCATTGTCTTCTCTAACTCCATCCGTTTACCTGCAAATGCCATGATTTTATTCTCTTTTATTGCTGAGTAATATTCCATTGTATATATATGCCACATTTTTTTTTTATCCATTCATCTACTGAAGGCCATCTAGGTTGGTTCCACAGTTTAGCTATTGTGAATTGAATTACTATTGTGTTGCTATAAACATTGATATGGCTGTGTTCCTATAGTATGCTGTTTTTAAGTCTTGGGTATAGACCGATGAGAGGGATAGCTGGGTAGGTGAAATGGTGGTTCCATTCCCAATTTTCCAAGAAATCTCCATACTGCTTTCCATATTGGCTGAACCGATTTGCAGTCCCACCAGCAGTGTATGAGTGTACCTTTTTCCCCACATCTTCACCAACACTTATTGTTGTTTGTATGCATAATAGCTGCCATTCTGACTGGAGTGAGATGAAATCTTAGAGTGTTTTTGATTTGCATTTCTCTAATTGCTAGTGATGATGAACATTTTTTCATGTATTTGTTGATTGTACATCATCTTCTGAGAAGTGTCTCTTCAGGTTCTTGGCCCACTTATTGATTGGGTTATTTGTTTTTTTGGTGTTTAGCTTTTTGAGTTCTTTATATACCCTAGTGATTAGTGCTCTATCTGCTGTGTGAGGGGTAAAGATTTGCTCCCAAGATGTAGGCTCTCTATTCACCTCACAGACTGTTTCTTTTGCTGAGAAGAAGCTTTTTAGTTTGAGTCCATCCCATTTATTGATTCTTGATTTTAATTTGTGTGCCACGGGAGTCTTATTAAGGAAGTTGGGGCCTAATCCCACATGATAGAGATTAGAGCCTCCTTTTTCTTCTATTAGACACAGGGTCTCTGGTTGTATTCCTAAGTCCTTGATCCATTTTGAGTTGAGTTTTGTGCATGGTGAGAGATAGGGGTTTAATTTCATTTTGTTGCATATGGATTTCCGGTTTCCCAGCACCATTTGTTGAAGAGGCTCTTTTCTCCAATGCATGTTCTTGGCACCTTTGTCTAATATAAAATAATATTGTAGTTTTGTGGGTTAGTCTCTGTGTCCTCTGTTCTGTACCATTGGTCTACCAGTCTATTTTGGTGCCAATACCATATGTTTTTGTTACTATTGCTCTGTAGCATAGTTTAAGGCCTGGTATAGTGATGCCACCTACTTCACTCTTCTTGCTAAGGTTTGCTTTACTATTCTGGGTCTCTATTTTTCCAGATGAATTTCATGATTGCTTTTTCTATTTCTATGAGGAATGTCATTGGAATTTTGATCAGAATTGCATGAAATCTGTATAGTGCTTTTGGAAGTATGTCATTTTGATAATATTAATTCTGCCTATCCAAGATTCCCAAGTGTTTTTTTGTTTTGTTTTTGTTTTGTTGTTGTTGTTGTTGTTGTTGTTGTTGTTTGAAGCTATTGAGAATGGGGTAGTTTTCCTCATTTCCTTTTCTGAGGATTTGTCACTGATATACAGAAACGCCTTTGATTTATGGGTGTGATTTTATATCCTGCTACTTTGCTGAATTCATTTACTAGTTCTAGGAGTTTTCTGTTGGAACTTTAGGGCCTTCCAGGTATAGAATCATATCATCAGCCAATAGTGCCATTTTGAGTTCTTCTTTTCCTATATGTGTCCCTTTAATTTCTTTTATCTAATTGCCAGTGTTTCAAGAACTATGTTAAATAGAAGTGGTGAAAGAGGGTATATCTGTCTTGTTCCAGTTTAAATAAAGTTATTTTTTAAAGTATTAAAAAAAAAAAGTTCCACACTTACCCATATAGGTTTACTTACCAAGTTGCCATGACAACAAATGGCATCTTGGTATGTAATGTGATTATTTTTTTATTTCTTATAAACTTCTTAGGAAAGTTTTGCTTTTTGCTGATCTTTTTTAGATCTACCATGTCTCCTTAATTAAAATTGCCAATTCCAGCTATGTACAAATAAAACAAAATATGAAACAAATTTTCGCTGTAATAGTTGTAGCTCCAGAATATAATTTTTTGTACTATTCAGTACAGCCTATTCAGTTGATTGAAATGGCAAAATGAATGCTCACTAGTCTAGTTTGTCAGTTTGGCTTTCAGATATCTGAAAATGATCTTCATATTTAAACTCCAAGACCTGCTAGAAATAAACACTTATTTAGTCAGGCACAGTGGCACAAGCCTATAATCCCAGTGACTTAGGAGACTGAGACAGGACAATCCCAAATTCAGGGACAGCCTGGGCAACTTTGCAAGATCCTGACTAAAAATAGAATAAAACAGGCTGGGGATGTAGCGTAGTGGTAGGGGACTTGCCGAGCATGTGGATTTGATCCCAGCACTACAGAAACAAAACAAAAAAGCTTATTTAATTAGTAGTACCCACAAACTTCCTTCTGAGGTATGTATTATGAACAGATGCACAATCTGAATCTAAGACATTTACAGAAATCTACATCTAGTTATGTTTCCTCTATCTGTTCCCTGCCACCTTCCATGATAATAATCATTTCTAAATACCACCATTTATCATTTCTTTAGTTTGTTTCTTTTTTTTTGGCGGGGGGGGGGGGGGGGGGGGCGGTGTGTGAATTTTTCTTGTAGTGCTAGGGATGGAACCCAGGGTCTCATGCATGCCAGGTAAACATCTCTACTACTGAGCCACATCCCAGCCCTCAGTTTCTTTCTTACATAGTTTTATTGAGTTTCTATATGTTCTGCCAGGGATAGTGGTTCATGCCAGTAATCCCAGCAGCTCAGGAGGCTGAGGCAGGAGGATCGCAAGTTTAAGGCCAGCCTCAGCAACTTAGTAAGACCTTGACTCAAAATAAAAAATAAAAAGGACAAGGAATGTGGCTCAGTGGTTAAGTGCCCCTGGGTTCAGTCCCCAGTACCAAGAAAGGGGCAAAAAAGAGTTTCCATATGTCCCCCAAAATTATGTATATTTTTGTTTTAGGTTGTGTTTAACTTTATAGAAAGATATTACACAATATGTAGTCTCTCAGGACTTGACTAAAAGTTTTTTCAATTAATATTATATTGCCAAGATTGATATTATTACATAACTATAATTCATTCATTGTGACTTCTGTGTAAAAATTCCACTATTAAAACATATTTTCTTTCCACCTACTCTCCTGTTGATGGGCATTTGAGTTACTTCTGCATTTTCCTACTGGGAATAGTGCTGCTGTAACATTCTTGTATATGTCTCCTAGGGTGTGCCTACAAGAGTTTCTTTGGGATATAAATTTAAGATTTAGAATTGCTGGGTCATAGTGTAAGCCAATATAGACACAAAATTATCATGACTGCTTTTTTAGAAAAATACTTTCAGCTCTTAGAAACTGGTCCAGTATTTTTGTTTTTGCTTACTGCTACATCACTGGCACCTTAATCTATGTCTGAGTAAGTGCTCAGTAAACATTTTTTGAGTCAGTGGATCATTTTGAGAATATAATCTGATTTATAAGAGAGTTCTTAGCTAAATGTTATAAACATAACAAAAGAATTGCTGGCTTTAAAAATACTACTTACTTTCTTATTTTTTTTAGATATGGGTAAATGTCACCTTACCAAAGGCAAACAAGCTCTAGAGATTCGAAGCAGTTTGTCTGAGAAGAGAGCACTCACCGATCCAATTCAGGGCACAGCTCATTCTGCAGAATCTCTAGTGCGCAATCTACAGTGGGCCAAGGCTCATGGTATGGTAGATTTCTTGTGAAATCTTTCTATCATAAACTTACTTTAAATTGTTAAGTTTTTTTTTATTCTGATTAAATAGATTTCCTCCCAATTTTATAGTGAAAATTTTTGGCTTAGTGGGCAAATTCAAATGTTTAAATTATAGATATTATACCAATTTATTTAATGTTAAAGATTTCAAAAATTTTAGCCCATTGTTTTTACCATTGGTAAAATTTAACTGAGTATGTTTTATTTTTGTGTTTTTTAAATGAGTTAATTTTTTTATTTGTGTAGTATATAGTCTTTAGCTTGTCTTATACTGTAACTACTGAAGTGTGTAGCTGTCTAGTCAGGTCTGGGTTCTGACCTGGTTTCTATCACCTGGTAAACATGTTATCTATAACATGAGGGTGAAATCCTACTAGATAGGATTGCTGTGATTGAAAGACATGCGTGGCCCATGAATATTACTGCCATTCTCTCTGTGACACTTTATTGGTTTGGGGTTATAAAAGGGAAAAGGTGAGATAAAAATCCTATCTGTAGCCTAAATTACATTTTGGCAATTATTTTGCAGTTTACCTTTTATGATTTAGTGAAAAAATAAGTTTGAATTATTGACTGTAATAAAGATTTTAGATTTTTCCCTTGAGTTCCAAATATCTATTCTGTGAATCTCTTGCTAGAAATAATTGAAAAATAATTACATTTATTGAATGCCTATAAAGCATATTTCTGTTTATAATAGTTTTAGCAAATTAACATATTAGAGCACATTAAAGGGTAAAGTGCTGTAAACATATTATCTTGGCATTCCAGATAATTGCATAGTAATTAAAATAGAATGTCTTTTCTGTAAATAAGTCTGAACAACACAAAGTGACAGTGGTAAAGATCAATAGGAAACAAAACCTTCTATAAAATAAGACTAGAAAGTCAGGTAGAAGTTATTTGTAACAAATTTAATAAGTAGATAGCTTTTTTGGTTTTTTAATAATATAAAATGGTAAGAGAAGGTAGTGCGGTGGCCCACATCTGTAATCCCAGCAGCCGAGGGAGGAGAATCCCAAGTTCAAGGCCAGCCTAGGCAACTTAGCAAGACCCTGTCTTCAAATAAAAAGTGAAAAATGCTCACTGGTAGAGCATTGCCTAACATTCATGAGACCCTGGATTTCATTCCAGAACCAGAAAAACATTATTGTCATGAAGATTGAGACATCAGTGAAAATATATCTATAATTGTGCATATACTCTTGATTACCACTAAGTAAAGTATATATGCAGATGGGCAAGAATTATAATAAAAGATTTGATATGTTTAGCCAGCAAAAATATGTGTTTAAATAATATTGGTTATATAACATTTTTTAAGCAAAAGAAAAGTCTCTAATTGTATTTTATCCTATACAGAATACTAGCTATTTTATCAGAAAATTTACCAAGCACTCTTTATAAGTTGTCCCTATTGTTCTTTTTCAGAACTTCCAGAAAGTATGTGTCTTAAATTTCAATGTGGTGTTCAGATTCAATTAGGATTTGCAGCTGAGTTTTCCAACGTCATGATAATCTATACAAGTATAGTCCACAAACCACCTGAGATAATAATGTGTGATGCATATGTTACTGATTTCCCACTTGTAAGTCTCTCCTTTTTTTATTTTATTTTTTATTTAAACTCAGTGATATTAGCTGGGCGTGGTGATACTTACCATAATCCCAGCAATTCAAAAGGCTGAGGCAGGAGGCTAGTATGATCACAAGTTCAAGAACATCCTTGGCAGCTTAGCAAGATGAGACATTGTTTCAAAAAATAAAAAAGGGTTTGGGATGTGTGTCTGTGGTGGAGTACCCCTGATTTCAAACCCCAGTTCTGGGAAGAAAAATAAAAGGGGTATTGTGAACTGAACTTTTGAGCTGGAGATGTAGCTCAGTGGTAGAGCACTTGCCTAGCACATGTGAGGAGGCCTTGGGTTCAGTACTCAGCGTGCACACACACACACACATACACACAAAAAAAAGGACTTCTAAACTTTTAAAAACTTAAAAGTTGATGGTAAATATAAGGGAAATATATTTATATAAGTGTTACTTCTTTGTAGTTTAGAAACATTGATCATGATATTTATTATTTTTGCCAAAATACCTTAAGTTTGTCTAATTTTAAAATGTCTAAAGTTCACTCAGAAAAGATGCCTTTCTCAGACCTTAAATAGGATGTCAAATGTAGAAGAACAAAATATTTTATTTATACATACATGTACATATATAGAGTGGGGGGGATTTTCTTTTAAAAACTATTGTTTCCATTGTGTTATTATAACACATAAAACTTACTTGTAAAGTTATGGTCATATATTGGAAGAATAGAAGTCTAATTCTATTCTTTCCAAACATTTATTTCTAGTATTTATTTTTTATTGATCAAAAGAATCTAATAAATAGTACCCATCTTTCTACATAGGTATGACAAACTGAGAAGTAAGCAAGGACTAAGAGAAACAAGTCCAAAATGTCACTTTTATTATTTATAGAGACTTCGTGGAACCTATTGCTTCATGTGACAGCAAATGATTTAGTACGGAATCCCTCAGTTAGTTCCAACCGGCCTCCAGTGATAGCAGCACTGCTCAGGTTAGGCCACCCAGTGTTGCTGGTGTGTCCCTCCATAAAAGCAGAAGGGCAGTATCCTTCACCAGTGATTGACTCTAAAAAAAGAAAAAGGGAAGGGCTGACTTTAGCTTATTCATTTATTCTTCTTAAATATTCTAAACATATGATCATAACGAGAAAGAATTCAGGAGCTAATTACTAATGGGGTTCTGTCTACTGAAAAAGAAACTTGAGTAGGATAATAAGTATTTCAAAGAGTAGTAAAGTTAGCACTACCCTTTCAGAGCTAACTTTACTTTTTAAATATATTAGTACAGAATTTACAATTCTATTGTAATCATAGAATGTGGTTTTCAATGCTTCTTTAATCCTGGGTAAGGAATCACTACTTATGTCAAATTCATGAGAGCAATACCTGTCAAGATGTTCTACCATAGACAGTGTGTGACTGATTGATTTCATTAATAACATTCACTGATTTTTTCCCCCCGCAGGACCTGGATATTGATCCAAAAGATGCAAATAAAGGAACTCCTGAAGAAACTGGCAGCTATTTAGTATCAAAGGATCTTCCCAAGCATTGCCTGTATACAAGACTCAGTTCACTGCAAAAATTAAAGGTACTACTTTTCCTAATTATAGCTACTAATGAAAAATTTGAAACTGAAAAGTCTGTTGGCAAAATCCATACATATGCTGTTTTATTGGTTATTAAATTGAAGTTGAGATAACCGATCTACAGTGGGTCCTCTCAGTGTCATTATATTCTATCCCTGGTAGTGGCTTGAGGACTTTTGTGTGAGAGTATATGTGTTTATCATCCATACTCCTGAGAAGTTAGGAAAATAGAGCATATTCTACTTTTAAATATCTTAGCATTTTTGAATCATTTCCTTGTTCTATGACTTTCCACAGAATATACAGCAAATTAGTATGGAATTTCTCTTTAATCTTTTTAAATTTCTAGTTGATTTGCTAATGAGAAGCTAGCTCTACATGGTTAAACTTTCTAATAAAGTCATATCCTTAGAAAAGTTGAGTTTTTAACTTATTCATAGCCACATAACTATGTACTAGCTAAAGTCATCTCTTAAAGGTTTAGCCCATTATCTTGTTCAGTTAAGTATTGAAGGAAGGAAAAGAAGATGGCTAATGGCCAGCCTTTTTTGATTTAGGGGAGAGGGAGAGGATGCCTTGAGAATTGGAACCTAGGATAGAGGGCTGAATGGCTTTTTGTTGTATGTATGGGAATTATATCTTAAGATTGATATTTTTAACATTGATAAAATGGTAAACCTCATTTCTTTTCCTTTTCAGGAACATCTAATCTTCACAGTATGTTTGTCTTATCAGTACTCAGGACTGGAAGACACTGTGGAGGAGAAGCAGGAAGTGAACGTCGGGAAGCCTCTCATCGCTAAATTAGACATGCATCGAAGTCTGGGAAGAAAGACTTGCCCTCATACACGTCTTATGTCCGATGGGCCTTACCATAGCTCCACATCCACCTTGGGGGGAGCAGGGCACTATCATTCATCTCAGGACTCATTCCATGGTGTCTACCATTCACATCTTAGTAATTCAAACAGTGTTATGCCATCAGACAGGTGTCATTGCAGCCGGACTCCTAATGCATTTATTTCAAATTATCATACCCATCATTACTCCTGCCACTTCAGTAGAAGTAATGTGCCAGTCGAGACAACTGATGAAATACCATTCAGTTTCTCTGATAGGCTCATGATTTCTGAAAAGTGACCTTCTTATTAGATGCCTCACATGAAATAGTGCTTTTTAAAAAGTGAGCATTGTGAAAAGGCAAGTATAATATATATATACAAAGAAAATAAGCAACAACTGTTTCATAGCGGGCTTAGGACTTTATGAGTTGTTGGAATTATATTATTTAACCACAGACTTCCTCTTGCTCTTTTTTCTCTTTTAAGACTTTGTGAAAGTGGTTGGTTGGTTCTGTAAGAATGACGTGTGGGTTTGTGTATGTACATGTATATAACAAAAATCTTTTCATTTTGATCACTCTGAGTTAGTAGCAGTGGGAATGGCATTGTTGTAGAATAAGTCATTGTATATTTTACACCAGAAGGAATCCTGTTGATCATCAGGCTTAACCTAGTTTTATCAGTGGGAGAAAAAGATTAAAGTCTCTTGTGTAAGTTGGAGCTGACATCAGAACTGAGACTCCAGAATTCTGTTCCCATGTTTTCTCTACTCCTGCCTTCCTGACAGCTTCTGAGACAACTGTTACTTTTGTAGATAGGTTGAAAGACAGGTAGGTAGGTACACATATCTGTATATTATCTTGAGCAATGTATAAACTTCAGTTAATAATCATAGGACCTTGCTGCAAGTGTCAGTTAATATTGTTTGTAAATAAATCTTATGTAGAAAGGACTGAAATTTCTTGTTCCTAATTTCACAAAACCACGAGAGGTGATGAAATGTTTATCTGTGTTGAAGCTAGACAGCAGAGTTAAGAATAGAGATGTAATTTTGGTAGATATTTATCTGAATCTTCCAAACGTTGATGACATATATTTTCCTCTTGAATTTTTTTTGTTGGGGGGGGGGGGTGCTGGGGATTGAATCCAGGTATGCTTAACCACTGAGCCACATCTCAGCCCTTTTTATATTTTGAGACAGGATAAGGATCTCACTAAGTTGCTTAGGGCCTCAATAAGTTGCCAAGGCTGGCTTTGAACTCATGATCCTCCTGCCTTAGCCTCCCAAGCTGCTGGGATTACAGGCATACACCACTGTGCCTAGTTTCCTTCTTGAACTTAACTGGACTTAAGAGATGATATTCTTATATGATTCTGCCTAAAAGCTGGATTGAAATGCAGCTAGAAATAACAAGGGAAAATAGAGAATTAGTAATTTAAAATGGGCTTAAGAGATAATATCCTTATCATTTTGTGTCCTACATAAAAGCAGGTTTAAAAGAAAATTGGCAATAACAAGGAAAAAGATTTAGTAATTTTAAAAGTCACACAGAGACAATTCCAGGCCCAGATAGCTTCACCACTGAATTGTACCAAACATTAAAATCCGCACCCAGTCTTTGCAAACTTTTCCCAAAGAAAGGAGAGAGAACGTTTCCCAAACTCATCCTGTGAGGCCAAAACAAGACAAGGACATTTCAAGAACACTACAGACCAATATCCTTTATGAATACAGATGCAAAAATTATTAATGAATTACTAGCAAACAAAATCAAACAGCATATAAAAAGATTACATACCATAATCAAGTGGAATTTATGCCAGAAATTCAAGGTTTAACATCTAAACATCATTTAAGCTAATATATAGTCAGCTCTCATTATTCACAATTGTTATGCTCCATAAAGTAACCACAACATAGAATCAGTGACTGTGGAACCATTGCTCCTAGGAGAATAGGTATGTGTATGTGTACATATGTGTACACATAGACATATGTATGTCTCACATAGATTCTGTTTTCTTCATTCTACAAAAGTAAAACAGATTCAGAAGTGTTCAGTGACATGCCTGAAGCTGTTCCACTAACAGGTGCCAAAGTTGGAATTCAAGTCCTGTCCAGCCTGAGCCAGAGCTTCTGAACTGTTGAACTGCACTGAACTGCTTTCCACCTTCATCCTTTTGTCATCTCCATGAGAACTAAAGCAAGAAGGCAGAGCATCACCTTGTTAGGCCTCGTCTGGGAAGATGTAGTCTGGGTGACAAATTTTTCACTACTCTCTACATGTCTACAAATGACCACAAAATTCCTCAAGAGTTGATTTGGGAATTGTTATGGCTTGGATGTGAGGTATCTCCCAAAAGCTCACATGTGAACAACAGTGCAAGAAAGATCAGAGGAGAAATGATTAGGTTGTAAGAGTCTTAACCCAATGGGGGATTTAATCCTGATAGGGATTAACTAAGTGGTAACTGAAGTGCAGGGTGTGGCTGGAGGAGGTGGGAATTGGGGTGTAGCTTTGAGTATATATATTTGTATCTGGCAAGTAGACTTTGCTTTCTGATCATGATGTCAGCACTTTCCTCTGCCCTGATGTTCAGCCTCACCTCAGGCCCCAAAGAATGGAGCCAGCCTTCTATGGACTAAGATTTCTGAAACCATGAACCATCAAATAAAACTTTTCTTCCTATATAATTGTGCTGATCAGATGCTTTTAGTCACAGCAGTGAAAAAAACTGACTTAAGACAGAAATTTGTTCCAAGAAGTGGGGTTATTGCTGTGACTAACCTGACCATGTGGTTCAGAAGCTTTTTGAGCTTTTTAGAATTGGTGGGAGGAATTTGGAGATGTTTAATAGTGCAAGCTGGAAATACTTTAGATTGTTGTAAGCAGAGCTTAATGGCTGATTCTGGTGGGAGCTCAGAAGACCAGAATGCCAATAAGACTGGAGACAATGAAGACAGGGCTCAAGAGGGTTCAGAGGATGACTCTATTGGAATTTGGGGTAGAGGCCATTTGTGTTATGTTCTGGCTGAGAAGCTATCTTCATTTTGCCCATGTCCAGAGACTTTCTGTGAGGATGATTTTAGAAGTGATGGACTTCTTAATCTGGCAAAAGAAATGTCTAGGCAGCATAACATTCAGGAAGTGGCAAAGATATTGCTGGCAGCTTTTAGCCAAATTTATTGTGATAATCAGGAGCAGAAAGATTTGGAAAAAGTGAACTTGAAAGTCCTGAGTAAAACTAGAGCTAAGGAAGTTGTTGTTAAAGACTTCACTGCTACTACAGAAATGCTGAAGATTTTGCCTAGAGACCATAAGAAAGATGGCTTGAGAGCATCTCAGGAGCTGGCAAGACCATACCCATCTCAAGCTCAAGGAAGTAAAAGGTGAAAATTCTCTTGAGAAAAGACCAATGGAGCACCCTTCTTGCAAAAGGGGGCCTAGGAAGTTTTTTCAACGTCCTCAGCCGCCAAGACACTCAGAGACTGCTACCACAAGGGTCCCTGGAGGCTTGGCTACTGCTCAAGATGGCAGCAGAACTTGGCATCCACTATGTGGTGCTGGTTATTCAGGAATGCAGGATGCTGGAGTTAGGGGTTTATGGAGGCTTCTACCAAGATTTCGAAGGAAAGCCAGGCAGGGTTGTAGTCCCTGCAGGCACCCCCTGAAAAGTCAGTGTGGAGATGTGAGGAGGAAGCCAAAGGTACAGTGGAGACCCTCGAGATTAAGAAATGCCAGTAATGTGGAACATCATCTTAGGAAAGCTGCAGGAATTGAGCAGAGACAAGCCAACATAAAGGCCACTTGGGCTTCAACAAACAAGGCCATAGGGATAGAGCTACACATACCCTTTGGAGAGAACTTCAAGATACCATGTGCCCCAGATGCCGGACATGGAGCCACAGATGGATTTCAGTCTTGCTTTAATCCTATCCCTTCCTTCTAATTTTGTAACTGGAAATATTTACTCTATACCATTATATATTGGATACTTATAAATTGCTTTTAATTTTATAGAAGCTCACGATGCAAGATTGCCTTGAGCCTCATAGAAGACTTCGGACTTGAACTTTGAGCAATCTCAGAACCGTTGACTATGGGGACTCTTGGAAATGGAAAAAAATATATTTTGCATTGTGAGATGGTTGAAAGCTTTTGGGGGCCAGGGGTCGAATGTTATGTTTTGGATGTGATGTGTCCCCCAAAAGTTCACATGTGAGACAGTGCAAGGAGAAATGATTGGGTTGTAAGAGTCTTAACCCAATCAGAGATTTAATCCCCTGATAGGATTAACTGAGTGGTAAATGAAGTAGTAGGGTGTGGCTGGAGGAGATGGGAATTGGGACATGCCTTTGGGTATATATTTGTATCTGGCCGGTGCATTCTTTCTAGTTCTAGATCATGATGTGAGCCCCTTCCCTCTGCCATCCCCAAGGAATGGAGCTGGCCTTCTTTATACAGACTAAGACTTCTGAAACCGTGAGCCCTCAAATAAACTTTTCCTCCTCTATTATTGTGTTGGTCAGATCTTTTTAGTCTCAGCAGTGAAAAAGATGACAAAATGGAGGTTATAAATTTTAGCAAGTTAGTAATGAAGATCCAACCATACCATTTTAATAAGGGACAACCCCACATAGATAGTAACAGATGCAGAAAAGCACTAGATAAAATCTAACGTTCTTTCATAATGGTTCATGATGTTTTCAAGTTAAAAACTACAGGTTAAGCATTCCTAATTCTCCAAAATCTGAAACTCTGAGCACTGAAATGATGCCACAAGTAGAAAATTCTGCACTTGACCTTACATGACAAACCACAATCAAAATGCAGACACGTGAGTCTGGGGCTGTGGCTCAGTGGTAGCACACTTGCCTAGCATGTATGACGTATTGGGTTCGATTCTCAGCACCACATATAAATAAATAAACAAATAAAGGTCTATCAACAATTTAAAAAATATTTTTTAAAAAATGCAGACACACTAGAAATATTACATAAAATTGCCATCAGATTTTGTGTATAAGGGGTATACATGTCCCAAGATGTCTCATATATATTATATGTAAATAGTCCAAAAATCTGAAACACTTTTGATCTCAAGTGTTTGGGATAAGTGATAATCAGTATATGTATTCACAGTTGACATATTCTTGTGCATAGAAAATCATAGGAAATTCATTTTAAAACTGAATTCAAAAAGTTGCAAAAGCAATATACTAAAATCCATTTTGTTTCTATACTAACAATGTTCCCAAAATAAGGTTAAGAAAATTCTATTTAATATGATATGTCAAGAGCTTTGTAATGTTTTGAACAACCAATAAAAAAAAGAAAAGAAAATTCTATTTATAATAATTCAAAAAGGATAAAGGCATAAGAAAAAAAGTGGAAAGAAATAAAAGATCTAATGAAGATGGCAATGCTACCCAAAGTGAAAACAATTTTTATCAAAATCCCAGCCACATTACTTGCAGAAACTGACAAGCAACTGATAAAATTAACATGAAATCATAAGGGGAAAAAAAATAAGGGACCCAGAAAAGCCCTATCAACTTCAAAAAAGCAAAGTGGGAGGACTCGTCTCACTTTCACAATGTTATAGTCATGGAGACAGTGTAGTGTGAATAAATAGAGCAAAGGGGCAGAACTGAGAGTCCAGAAAGAAACCTTAGATGTTGCTGGTTGGTTCTCAAAGGTATCAATACCACTCAGTAAGGACAGAGGAGTCTTACACTAATGGTGCTGGGACAACTTCTAAGTTACAAAATGACCCCTACCTCATGCCACATACAAAACTTGACTCAAAATGGATCGCAGATCTAGATACTGGAACTGAAACTCTTGGGAGGAAATAGCCATTTTGTATTCAAGCTTTAGGTTGACTAGGACTTCATCAAAATTAACTTTTGTGCCTTAAGTCACCATTAAGAAAGTAAGAAGACAGCCC